TTCTTCACGAAGATGTGAAATTTGTCCTGAAACATTCTTGAATTTATGTTAAGGTGCACAAGTGACTTGCTTTTCTAAGATTTTCACATAAAAATATTTTAAAAGGTGAGCTTAATATAGGACATGGTTGCTGAACAGATGGGCATTGGACAGCTACTGACCCAACAGAAGTCAGGGTCAGACTTCTGTCAGAAAAACAAGGACAAAACTCTGAAGCACACGTTCTGTTAATTCTGATGTCTTCTCTGCAAACAGATGGACTGGTAAATTCATTTCCACCACAATATTCTTTTTATGTAAGGAATGCCAAATCTTGCCTAGAGAAATTGCTGGTTTAAGGGTAAGTAATATGACCATTTAGGTGTTTCCTGAAATAAAAACAGTATTCACATAGACACAGTGTTTGTTCACTAAAAATATTTAACTGCTGACATTTGAAAGAAATTGCACAAAAGCAAAGGATTAACAATGAATAAAAATCACCTTCCTCTGATAACTGAATTTTTATTTTCTTTGCAATTGCAAAAGCATTGTTCTACTATGAGCTAATGCATATATAAATGTAACAACTTTTAAAACTTCACATGGCTTTTAAATATCTTTCAGAAGCAAAAAAAATAAAAAAAAAAAAAAGCATATATGTATTTTATTTTCTGTACATATGCTGCCACTATTCTTGCACCTTATGTCTTGTCTCCTGGAGAATTTCCACTAAGGCTAGTGGAGTCTTAGGAACTACTCATAAGAAGTATGAGTATGTGAAGCCAGTATCTGCCCAGAGTTCTATCTTTTGCTGTTTTGAGAGAGTCATGCTAAATTTTAGTTTTATCTGAAATTTAGGCTGCTTTCCTTTCTTTTTGTTGTTCATCTCATGGGCATGGTGGATCAATTTAGCAATTATAAATAAAGGAAGATAAAGAGGTCAAATATAAAACCTTAGGAGGCATTTGCTCTTCTCTCATCTTTGTAATGAAAGGTTTTATCTGCTGTTTGTAACCAATGGACCATCAAGATTTAACTCTACTTTGGAAATATTCCCTTAAAAAACACATCGTTTGTGACGCTAGTTCCCAAAAAGGGTGCTTTTCTTTTTTTTTCTTTTTTTTTTTAATGTTTCATTTTGGTGAGTGAAAAGCTTGATTGTTTTTCTTTATTTATACTTCCTCTAAAGCACCATGCATTGCTGTCATAGGTTCCCAGGCTGGCTTTGGAATGGATTAATCGTTGTTGCCAAAGTCTGTTCAAAGTTCAGTGAAACAGACAGCACCATGTTCTTGAGGAGATGGTGGTCTCTACGCTTCATACCCTTCTTCTACCTGGCCTCTCTAACAGAGTAATGATTTCACATATAGCTGAATGACCATCAGCACAAATCAATGAACAAAGTTTAAGGATTTCAGTTCTCCGTATTTGTGAAAGGTGCCTTATTTTGAAATAATGAAATCATACAACTCATTGAAACATTTCATAGGGACAGTGTTCTGGAGCACCGTTCTTCACTCGCGGTCCTGCTTCCTGTGCTGCCCTATGCTATCTTGTTACCTCCTTTGCATTCACATATCTTCGCATCAGAGATGCTTTCCATAGTGACATTTGACATTCCACTACACTGATATAGTTGTATCTGCTTGTAGCAGAAGAGTACCCACTGTTCTGGGTACTAGCCCAGAACTCTACTTATGAGAATCATTGATTTAAGTACAAATAAAGACAGGAGCTCACCAATATTAGTTCGAATGATGCAGTTTCACAGGCACTCTACTTTGAAGACCCATTCTGAAAACAAGAATCAGGGACAGGAATTCCTTTCTTTTACCAAGGGCTGACTAAGAAAAACTTAGATCTATGCACCTTGCTTGTTTGCATAGAATTTAGCATTTAGGGGCACGATCTGGAATCATTTATGCATATCACTTTTTTTTTGTGCATACCTGTGGGAGTTTAACTTAGATTTTCCTATTAATTAAATATAGGTGGTCAAACCCTCTTTTCAGAACAGACATAAACTGGGGAGGGGAAATGAGAGTTGGTTAGCCTGGAACTTGCTGTACTCTCCAGGGTGCTGAATTTGGTTTATGCTGGCAAAGATGCTCTGAATGAAAGCAAATCCAAGTGTGCTTTCAGCATATAAGAGGTTGCGCTTCCCTTCTCTTGTCATTCCTATAGGCTGAGGACATCCAAAGGAACTGGGGTGTGGGCAGTATGGTTGGATGTGTAAACTGCTGTTAGTATTTCCAAACTGAAAAATGCTTCCTTTAAATAAACAAATGATACTTTATACTGATACCATTCTCATCCTTCCTTTTGGGTTTCATCTTCCTCATTCCAGCCAGTACTTTAGCATGAACATTAAGTGGGGATATTCTTCTCTTTCCATTACATAAAGTGTCCGGGTTTGCTTGGACAGAGTGGAATGCTGGGAGGAGTGAAACACATGAATAAGCAAAAGAGCTAAAGAGTTACATTTTGCCCCCGTATTTTATGGCCTGAGATGGCTGAACAGTTTCTTTAAGGAACCAGTTAAGAACAGAATCAGAGACTTCTTCCAAAGGAAAGCTTCAGTCTATATGCTTGTGATCTTGGTGAAATTGCAACAAATAAAATGGAGTGTGGTAGAAACCGATAGAAAAACTGGAGTTGATGATCACGTTAATTAATTAATTAATTCTTTTTCCAACAAATGTGTTCTGAAATATAAGTTATAAGATAGCTTATGGGACACTGATTTTCTCTTCACATCACAGTTGTTACTAATTTCAGCTTTTTTCTTGGGCGGGGGGAAGAACTTTCATTGTTTGTTTTGTTTTTCTAGTGAAACAATCTTTTGTTTCTGTTTCAATAGAGAAAAATCTGCATAGGTTCCATAACTGAAGAGGCCAGTCTTCATTTCTTCTTGTCTATATTAATTCTTGAATAATGTAGCACTGCTTACATGCATAACAGTTTATACTTCGACTTATCTCCCATGTGATAAAATGCTATAATTTTATTAGCCGAGCTTTTGGGAGTAGATGGCAGTCCGGTGTCAGCATCTGCTTTCTTTTTTTTTTTTTTTTTTTTTAACATATGATCCTTACCATATCATAGCACAAAAGTTCTGATAATCTTGATTTGTCCTCTTTGAAGAAGAATGGCATTCATGGTGCATATTACTTGGGTTGCTTTGTAGACAAATTAAAGATTTGTAAAAAGAATATTACCTCACCTTCAATCTCCAGTTCAGAAATGAGAAGTGCAGAGTATTGTCATATGAACTTAGGGCTCAAGACTATACCCATGTCCAAGATCCCTGATGACCAACATCAAGTTTTTGTTTACATTCTAGTTTAAGACTATTCGTTTGCCAGCCTAAGAAGCTCAAACAGAAAGAAGAAAGCTTTCTGGGAAGCTCAAGAGAAAGGGTTTCAGATCTGTAGCTCGACTTTTATTTTATTTTATTTTATTTTATTTTTTTCCCTACCGGCTCTCACTAGTTGTTTAGAGCTTGTGAACAGATAATTGCAAGAAAGGTCAGAGGTGAGAACAGACAACAGTTGTGCATTTAGGAAATTACTATCTGGGAAAGTTAATACAGCAGTGAAGGTATTAGCTGATGAAGAAAGCACTTCAGAGAAGAAGCATGAGCAAAAACTGGAGAAGGATATTTAAGACCACAGACAGTTAATAATCCTTTTCTGCAGGTCCCCTCAGTACTGTCTGGAATTCTGTATTTCATTCTGACTGCGCCATAAACAGAGGATCACAAAGCAGCCCAGGACAATGTTCTGAAGGGGCCAATTGTTAGAGAAGTAAGAATTGGTAAGACTAAGCAGATTAAAGATACCAGAAAAGCATAAATACCAATAACTTTTTTTTTCCAGTGGCATGAGAAATATAACAGGGAAATTAAGAGAGTAAGAACTTTCTGGGCTACTCATTGCAAGGAGTGAAAGACGCTTCAGCAACATGAACAATTATGATTTTTTTGAAAAGACACATAAAATAGTAACATTTCCCCAATGGCAAAGAAAATAATACACTAATAATGTTGTATAAAATAATGTAAATTGTAATAGCTTGCTTTCCCCGTCAACTGCGTGACTGTACAAACATGTGAAACAACTCACATTCAGAATCCTGGCATTTTCGATATGTCCTTTCTCTGTCACCTAAAAAAAAAAAAAAAAAAGAAAGTAAGACAGAAAAAAAAGAAAAAGTAGTACTTGCCTTCTTTTACCATGATTACATTTACCGTGACCCATTTAACAATAGGATCAGGAATTTGATGAGATTCCCTTCCTTCCAAATTAATTTAAAAACAAAACAAACAAAACAAAACAAAAAAACAAAAAGCAAAACCAAAACCAACAACAAAAAAGCCCAGTGGTTCAGAAAAGGCAACAGCAATAGAAAACTCATTCTTTTCCATGAGTTAATGTAACATGTAAGGAAGTATTGCTTTTGGTTTTGCCAAAAATTGGAGGCAAAAAATCAAAGAGCTGAAGCAGCCTATTTAGACTACTCAATATGAAATGATGCTGCAAAGCCTTCCACTTTAGGCAACATCTAATTCTTTTTTTTTTCTTTCTTTCTTTCTTTTTTTTTCTTTTGCTTTTTTTTTTTCTTTTGCTTTTTTTTTTTTCTTTTAAGTGTGAGGTAAGGAAATGACATTACTAACTATTTGCAATTAGCTGTATGCTGCGAGGAAAAGGGCAAGGGTGGAGAGGAAGGCAATCCTAAGCAAAAGTACACTGTTGCTCGTGCCTCCTGGTTTTGACAAGGGGAAGAAGCCCAAGTTAAGCCCTGTTTTAGCAAAGTAGGCCCGGCTCTTTCTGTGCCTTTTTCCGGGGGAAACCATATAAGGCAGATAACAGGGAGGGACACTCCAGCAGCAAGGGTTGGACTTGATAAAAAGGCGGGGGGGGGGAAATGAGGGGGAGAGAGTCAGGCGGCAGCACTCCCTGCACCTAGGTAAGACTCTGCCATACGGAGCTGAGGAGCAACAGCAAAGAAGACTAAGGGGACATGCAACAAGAGGGAGGAGGTACTGTTTGCCGAATGATTTTGTGTTTTTCTGTGCTTTATTTCTGACTCTGATGAACTCCACGTTTTGATAACGCAGGCTGGCTACTCTGCTTCCAGAATCCTTGCTTGCAGCTGCTGGATAGCCAAACCTCTGCTACAATCACCTGTAGCTTCAGCACTCAAAAATGAATGATATACAAAGTACATACTCCTGAGAAGTTTCAAGTTCTTGTAGACTGGTTCAGCTGAAAGGCTTCATATTTTAAGTTTAATGTTTGGACCCTAAAGCTTTTTAGTGTTAAGAGAAAGAGTGATAAGGGGAAAGAAGTAGTTTTCTATCTGCTGTGGGATTAATGCAGAAATGCATTGATCCATTTTACTAGTACCTATGGTAAGAAATGAGCTCTTCTGTAACTAATTCACTACTCCATGTGAATATTTTGAGGAATAACTTGGATTTTGTGAAGTAACTTGGAGAGCTTTGTTTGGCAATACTACAGAAGTCATTTATCCAGTTACCCATGGAAATCTTCAAGAAACAAGGAAAAGTAAGCTTCCAAACAAGGAAAGAGGATGAAGCCTGAAACTCTCTCTCTCTTTTTCTAAGTGTTTCTCTTCTGTGGAGATTACAGTGAGTCAACGTGTGTGTGAGCCTCTGACAGAGGTGCAAGCACCTAACCATGCTGGCTTTTCATTGTAGATATCACAGTACTTTATGATATGACATGGCAGCCATAATTTTGACATTAATGCCAGCAGTATCTTGTGCTTTGAAGGTAAATAAAACCTTTGACAATACCTTCAATGTTTTCCTATGCATAGCAGTGTCACTTTATCTGGAAGTTTTAAATAAGGAAGCTTTTCATGGTAGTAAGAAATGAGTCAGTACAAAATTTGACACTTCAGAAAACAAACAGCTGACAAAATGCTTACTATAGCTAATAATATTTATATATTACCAGCAATTTAGATCCGTCCTGCAAAATATATTCTGAACTATAAGAGCTTTATTTACTGTTCTATTTTTGCTAGGTACTTCTTTGAGACTAGCAAAGTTAGCAGCAAATATTGAACTTCTTGAAGAAAACCAAATACCAGGCCAGAAGTCTTTGATCTTTTCCCTCGTAAAAGTATTGATCTCCCAGGGACATTTAGTATTAACAAGATCCTACTTTTTACAACTGATAAAAAATTCTTCCTGAGTGTGGTGGACTGCAAGACTGAATTCCATGAGGTGTCAAGATTAATTCATTCTGCTGTTAAAATCTTTCAATAGCATTGACATTCTAGACCAGATCTCTTGAGATGTTAGATGTTGAAGCTCCCTACATCCATCGAACATGCTCCAGGGAAGAGCAAGTGTATAAATTCCAGGAAATTATTGCAGTTCTGCCTCTAACCAGAACAGTTCAGGAATTGTTCAACTTAATATCATAGGATCAGCTGTCAAGATAGAACTCTGCTAGTGTTGCAATATTTTAAGAGTTTTAAGCTTCCTCCTTAACAAATGTAACTTTGAATCTTAATTTTGTATCTTCCTCTTTCTGGTTCCAGCATTCAGTTAAGTCTGGCGTCCAGCATATGTCAGTTGTCTAATATGTTCTTCTGATTTAATTTCAGAGGCTCTGAGTGGCAGCAGGTGACAGGCTGACAGCTCACATTCTTGTGTCACGGAGAAGTTCCATTATAGCAGCAGAAAGTCATTTTACCAGCTGCTGAAGAACAACCTGGACTGGGAGGACATACAATACCCTCTTTTATGATTTTAAATATTGATCAGGGTTTGTAATACCTATACGTTGTAACAGAATGTCCTATGGAGAAACTGTTGGGCACCCAATGTATAACCTCTGTGGACAGGTTCAAACCTCCATTCCCGAGCTAAGCAGCCTGGATGGAAATCGGAAGTCTGCAACCTTGCTGGAAGTAAGAAGGAACTTAAACAATATGCATTACTCTTCAGTGGCCTTGGATCCAGACACCACAGCGACTAATGGTTCTGGACTTCCCTGTAACCCTGAGGAAACCATGAAGGCTTTAAGAGGAAGTGAAATGCGCAGGACATGTACAACAAAGTGTCTCTACGACCATTATTTAGCTAAAACTAGTATGCAGGGAGATGTCTACAACTTCCTGGAAAGGCCTAGTGGATGGAAGTGTTTTATCTATCATTTTACTGTGTAAGTACCCTCATTTTCACATAATTTTTGCTGTAAGAAATATTCAAAACTGTCCCTGTGATCAACAAGAAATGATAGTATTTTAGCTCTAAGACTGAAAACCATCATCACATGAGTAATCTGACTGAAACCGATGGGAAGGTCATTTTCACAAGGAATCAGCTGCTATATCTATTCAACATTTCCAGTGGAGCACTTTTTGTTCTTTATTTGGTATTTGTCTTCCAAAATACGTGTGGTATTTGATATTTCTTAGGTGAGGGCCTGTATGATCATAGCAGCTTTTAGTGCTGCCCTAGTTGCCTGACATTTCTCCAGCTTCAGACACTGGAGAGTTTGATAAGGGTATGGAAGGTTTAGCTGTGATCAGATGTATGAGATATAAATATATTTTAAAGTGTATTTTGCTTGAGCTGAAGTGCAAACCCAAGTAATTTTTTGTCAAACATTTAGTCAGAACACTATTAATTTGCATTAATTTACAGGAGTGAATATTCAATGAGTTCATATTTAGCAAGAAGTAATTCATTATATGATTAGTACATGTACGGAGAATATTAAGTCTTCCATTTAGCCTTGTAAAACCATGGTTAAGAAATGAATACAGTTACTACTGCTTTCTTTGAGCAGGTACAGCAGATATTTTGAATGGGGCAAAAAAGTAATGAGAGTTTGTCATATTAGCTGTAGAAAAGGCCTGAATGTGCTCTCACTGAAGCAAGCAGAAGTTTCTCTGGGTACAGTCAATGAGAAATGAGCCCAAAGTCCTTGCTTTTATTATAAAATTAATGTCCTCAAGAAAGACAGAATACTGAGATTTTTTTTTTATCTCAGGTGTGCTTTCCTAAGGCCTGACAGCTTTCTGCAAAAACCACTAACTGTTACTGCAATCAGGAATTGCCCAGATAAATATACTGTACAAAAAATAAAGTAATAATATAAATTGAGAATGAATAATAATGCTTCTTCATACTCATAAGTTATTTCTCACATTAATATTTGTTTCCTTTTTTCCTCAAGATTGTCTTTGGCCGTTGTAAAAAGATGCTTTGATTTATCCATTTCTGTCAAGCAAAAGGATGGGACCTATTTCATGGACTATGCTTATAAATATAAACATACTTAAGGCATACGTAATTTGTGATATTATTAACAGAAAAATATTAATTTTCCTTAACAGTGTAAGAATTTCTAACTAAAATTAAATGAAATGTACATTGGCATCTGTTTTAAAAACTTTAGGAATGCATGAAAACATAATTTTAAACACAATTTTGTCCAAAATAAGTTATGGTTTTGTCTTAATTATATTTGTCCTAGTAATAATTATATTTGTCCTAGTAATTGTCCTGATTATTGTCCTGCCTACAAGGCATGCCTTTTTACATATATCTTTTTTTTTTTTTTGAAAACAAAATATGGATTACATGTTAAAACAAATAACACTACAGGTTATTAAAAATTTAAACAGTCTTAAGGCAATACAGTGTTAATCTAAAATATAAATTATTTTATAGTGAGAGCAAGACATAATATATATTTTAAAATGTTTTCCATGTTATGTCTGTATTTTGGGAGTGACGTGTAGAAATAATCTAATGATGATAATGAGTTTTATTTTTATAACAAATCCAATCTTCTCTGTATGTAGCTGAAATTTTTAAAATCTATCTGTGTACCCTAGGAGAGATGATTTGCAGCTTCCCTTAGTGTTCTTTTTGTCCTTCATATGATACAAAGACCACATAACTCATTTGCCAGCTTGTGGGAAATTTCTATCCAACTGGAACTGGAGTCTGATACAAAGAACCTAACTCCTCTGGAAAAAAAAAAAAAGACAAAATGAGGAACAGCAAGTGCTCTAGGATGTAACATTCCTTTCACATTCTGAAGTTACAAGATAAACTCTCATCTCATGTAATATTTATAGTGTCTCTGATACCTCAAGTTTCTTTTAAGGGAGTAAACACATGCTTCCTGACTCTATCATGTATATTAGAAAAGGAAATTATTTTCTTGTCTAATTAAATCTGGAATTTGTGTTATTTTAATAGAGTTATTCCAGGATAAATTTATGACCTTTTCTGAAACAAAGTTTCAAGGAGTGACCAGCTTTGTTTGAGAATTCTCCCTGTTGTTCTCATTTAGATAATATTCAGCTACACTGGAAACACTGTGAAATACTTCCTCAGAAGTGTTTCAGAAGTATAGAAAACCTCAGAAGCAGGTTAGAGAGTTGCACTAACAGGTTAGAAGGAGGAAAGGGCTTCAGAAACATTTGAGATATGCAATAGCATATAATGATCCTAACCAAACAGTTCCTGCTGTTCTTTAAGAACCTTAAGGTATTGGAGATCAGCACATGTTAGAGCCCAGCTGCTCCCCATATGGCACTGAATCCAGAAGAAGCAGTGTGTGCCAGGCTTGAATTTGATTTCTAAGCTCAACTGTGCATGTGTTTAAATCCCATCCACATTTCAAGATGTCATGGTATAATGCTCAGATTTTCTGTCTTGAAGGAGAAATACAATATGCAAGTTTCTTGCTCTTATGAATTGGTGATGAGTTATGTATGGTAATGGCAGATCCACACAGTTAAATCATTTAATTGTAAGTGGAGTCTTATTAACATGATGAGTTTACATTTCTTTACATATAAATATGTATGTATATATATCTAATTGCAAACAGAATGGCAAATGGCTCATCATAATTTAAAATATTGTGCTCTTTTAGCTAAAGGATTGTGTTCACATATATGTGAACAGAGAGGGAAGGGATGAGGACAAATAGTTCTCTTGAGCAAGGCTTGACCTGAATTTATATATCAGTTAGTAAAGACAATAAAATAATGTATGTGACTAACACGCTAGAATGTAAGTGATAGAGAATGTTATACTTCTAGGTCTTTGGAGGCCACTTGTATATTTGGCTATAGATAGAGGATGGAGATAGGCTGGCTTTTCTGCCACATTTTTGAAGTCAAAGAACAAGGAGGAGGGAATAGCTTAATCTTACTGAAAGGAAAAGATTAACATACACTCGCATACATTTACACGTAAGTGATGAATGATAATATTATGGTTTTAGGAGAACAGCGGGGTTTTAGGAGGTTTAAGGAGAATATTATGGTTTTCCTTATATGTAGAGAAAAGAGGTAACTGCTTGCTTTCATTTGTTAATTTGTTCTGGGAGTTAGTAACAAGGGCATCTTGTGTCAGGATAAGGCTCTGTCTTCACCACAGTGCAGCCCTCTGTTGAAGATAGCTGACAACATATCTTCTTAATGTAATCTTGTCCACCAGGATGGTATGGTGATATATTAGCTGCACTAGTTGGTCCCAGGAAGAGTACAACTGAGTTTGCATGGATTTGCACTGGGGCTAATAGGTTCAATGTCTCAGCAAGCACTATGGATCCATACTAGTGCCCCAAATACGCTCTAATCTTTTCATTCACTGTAACCCAACCCACTTGTCCAATCTGTACCATCCCTTTGGAACCTCCAGCATCTTCTAATTTGGGTCTTTTCAGCTGCTGGTGGCTAGGCAACTAAACTAAAAGCAATCTTTTGTGGGAAGGACTTGGACTAAGGAGACAGGAACAAAGAACAACCTGGGACAGAAATTAGAATGGGTTATCTTAGAAACTGAGACATTCACCAGTGATGCTGAAACTGGAAAAAAATGAGATACAAATAGGCTAGATCATGAACAAAAAGAAATAGGCTTGGCCTGGAAGGACAAAATATCAAAGACTAGCAGCTTTTGGAGATTAGAAGGCTGGCAGGACACAAGGAGCTGCAATTGTGGGACAGCTGATACTGGTCAAGAAGCTCAGAGAGAGCCACTACAAGGAAGAAGAGATGGGGAGGACAGCTGGGAAGAAAGGAGGAGGAGCATGGAATTCATGACGGCAATGGGAACCTTTCACCCATAGGCAACTGATTTGAATTTGGTCCAAGTCAATAGTGAAGAAGAAGTAATGCCTGTGGGGAGATATCAAAGGAGCTATTGGTCTCAATCCAATTCTTAGTGAATGGATGTCGGCATCACTGCTGGACTTAGCCCAGCTGGAAGGCTTGCTGGCAGTCAACAGAGAAACCACGGGCTGCTTGAGAAGGCAGGCAAGTCCACAGCAAGAGAGATACCCATGAGAGGGACTCTTCCATTGTATTCTCAGGCCTTACACTTGCTTACTGTGTGACGCAGTGAAAGTTCAAGCAAGAACTTGCAGCTGTTCAAGGTTACTTTGTGCTGGTTTGACCACTTGTTTACTAAGTGCTAGACCTTGCTCTCATTTAAAAAGTAGACCAATCTTTATATCTCATAATCTCCCATTAGATGAGGTGGGCTGGTTTTACAGACCATTGCTAAAAATCTGTCTTCTGTTTTCCTGTCCTCACGTACTTTAGCTATTTGATTTGTTCTTGCCAACTGTTGTTGTCCTTGATATTCTTGTATCACACTGCCAGTTCAACTTATTATTCCAGCAAAGGTAGCCCACAAACAAAACATGGGAGGTCTTCTGCTGCGTTAGTAAGCTTTTGGATACACATACGGCATCCATTAGGATTTTCTTAGTGCTCCTAGTGAACCATAGTCAGCTGTTAACATTTCGTATAACATGGCACAAGTAATTGCAAAGTAACACTGCAAGTCAGCTGTCAAGTACTGCAGGTCCCCTGGTTTGGCTGTGAAACATTTCACAAATGCAAATCACCTAGCAACAAAGCCTGCTTCCCAGGCTCTCTTTTATTTATGGAGAAACAATTCCAAACGGCAGAGGAGATCATTCCAGGGAGAATGGTGACAATTGCTGTGAATCATTCCTAGGGGATGCTCTCTGTCTTGGGTATGTTTTCACAAGAGCTTACCATTGCCACGAGAGCTTCTCCTACTTACACGTGTGCTGCTTTTGGCACTCATTGTAACCTTTATAAACTAAATTCAACAAGAAAGCCAGCCCAACAGAGAGTGGGTAGTTTTTTTTCCGTCTTC